GGCCTGCGTTTACGCACTCTGTATCCCTTGACATCGGTACAAATATGGTACCGATCACTGGGACACGCGTGCGTTTTTCTGATTCGCTGATCGTGTTCGACCATTTGGGAAATTTTGATCGTTCGACGCGTCATCATTTGTACGGACAAAGTTCTTGAAACTCTTCCAGAAACTCCAACTTTTTCTCAAATATTGACAGAAGATTTTTCAACCAACTTCATTCCAAAACCATATTTTGGCAGCTAACGTTTCAACGTTTATTTATTTATTCTTGAAAGAAATTTTTTTCGATTCTGTGCAGTTGTCTTTTTTTGGGGGGGAGGGTGTCGTATGGAAAAATGGAAAATAAAAAGTACCCGAAGGTTAAAACTCAAAGTCTCGAAGAGATTACGAGAAACAGATTTTTTGTTTTTTTTGGTTTGCTCCGCTTCTTGAAGAAAGAAGAAAAACCATTCGTTAGAAAAGGGGAATTTCGGTCGCGTTTTCAGCGTTGCTAGCTGTCGCTTGTAGCAGAGGGTGTCTTTAAAATCGTTGAAAGTTCCCGAATGAACCCGAGGATATATTTCTTCTTTCTATTTACCCTCGTTTCACGAAGAGAAGGAACGTCTTCGTCACGCCTGTTTCGCTAATCGAATCTGCCTCTCGACGGTTTAGGTTTTTCTCCACTAACCTTGACTTCGTCGGAGTACGAGGGCTTCCGGTGGGAAGCTCTCTCAACGACTCGGGCTTCTCCACCACGGATGGACGCATAACTCCGAATGACGAATGTTCTTCACGCGCTCGTTCGATGCAACTGAACAAACCAGCCGCTTTGAAACGGCTGAACTAACGACAAGCCCGCGAAAAACTCGATTGGAAAGGTGGCTTGATTGAGAAGAACGTCACGAGGCAGAGGTCAGATCGTTCGAGCCGACGACCCTGGCGGGCCGTTTCGAAGGAGGGAAAGGCAAGGCGACTTCGTTCCTCTTGCTTGCAAGAAGGCTCTCTCAAGACTGGACGACATTGCTCGTCGAGGCCAGCTTCCGCTAACGTCTGACCACTCGCCAGAGAAGGGATAAAACGACACGGCCGCGTTTTCGGTGCCCACAGATCCCAGTCATTACGAAACCTAGTCCTTTCTCGCCAGCCTATCTCGCATCTGTCTCCTTGGTTAAATAGGGAATCAGATTGCCCCTTAGAGAAACAACGCGAGAAATATCGTCGTGTTGCCTCGGCGATGTTCGAAACTGATGGGAATGTTAGATGAATAGGGCAAACAGAAAACGGAATTCCGTGACAGTCAACTCGCTTCTCACTCACATCTACGATGCCTGCTCCAAAGTGAACATCGTCGGTTTCGATGTTATCAAATTAACACTTTCCCGCCTAAGAAACGCGTATTATTCATTATACTCCAATCATGTAGTTGGAGAAGTTTTATAAATAATTATACAATGGAAAACTGCGCTATAACACGTCAGTGTGACCGAGTTCAGGCTTCCGGTTTCTTTTTTTTTTTCTTTTTTGTCGGAAATTAATATTAATTTTTTGGTTCGTTTGATTGTTCCAATGTTGATAAATATTTTCACTCGTTTATTTATATTAATATCTTCGTCGATCAACCAAAGTCAAGTATATATATATTTTTGCAAAGATTTTTCTCAGTAAAAAATAAGCTAAGAGAAAAAACAGAAAACGAGAAATCGAATAATCAGATAATATAAGAATTTAGAAAA